CCTTCGTTCGAAATGCCTAGGGGTGGCTTAATTCTCCTTAGTCCTCCCCCTTTTGGTCAATCCCTTTTGGACATTCCATCCTCAAAACCTCTAACCGTTGAAGCTAGCTCGTGATTAGCTCACCTACCTCTCCCCTTCGTCGTGCCTCCGGTCGTTCGCTCAGTTCGTTCCGTAGGCCGCCTCGACTTCTCGTGGGGTCTAGCCAGTTTCCGCCAGCCCTGGTGCAAGGCAAGCACATCACGTTCTTTCTCCCAACGTCCCACCTTTCTGGAGTGTGCGATCCGAACGAGTATTTGGCCCGGGGTCGCCGTGCCGACAGAGCTCCGGCATCAAAGAGAGGGTCTTTCCAACGACCCCCCCCCCCATCTGACTCATAGTCCTGGCTCGACGTCTCGTTCCAGAGTTTCCCTGTACCGCACACCCAAGCTACCGGGAATGTCGAGGTAGGCTCCTCCGCCGTTATCAGTCAAAGTCCGAGTCATTGCCCCAAATTTCGCCATCTTGTTACTCGTGCATCACGGAGAAATTCCGAATTTTGTGACCAGCTCCTGATATCAAGCGGTACGCGGTAATCCGGCCGCCCTTCGTTGTCAATTTCAGGTCCCCACGCGCTCCCTTCTCTCGGAACTTTCGTGGCCCATTCCAAAGTCTGCCACCATTCCCCGTCTCATCGACCAGGCTTTGAATACCCCAAATTTTTGGAACCCCCGCAGGCCCACTATTCCCTGGTGTGAGCACCAGGCCCCCCCCTGAACCATGCAGGCAGCACCCTCGCATTGCCGTAGGCGCTTTCTGGAGTATCCGAATTGCGGTGGTCGTCGCGGCGCCTCCCTGCAGACCATGCTAGGCACGAGTTGACCCTTCCATGTACCTCCGTGGCAGTTTGGTGGTTATTCACAACCGAGGTTCCGGTCCTTAACCCGCCGCTTGTCTTTCGGCCCGATCAAGGCTCATTCCGACACACACCGTCTGCTCGGTATTTCCAGATCTTGACGTCGAAAATTCCAATCTTTTGTGATCCGCCCGAGCCCACTTACAACCAAGGTCTGGACCGTCACTCCCGCCAATCGAAGGGTTAACACAAGGACCCGGACATCCAGAGCACTCACAAGGCATGCATGCATACACCAAACCCAGACAAAACAACAAAGGGAAAGAAAGGAAATTTGTTTATTTTCGAAAAAGAAAGGGCATCGGCTGGTAGGCAGCCGCCCGACACCGCGACGGTTGGTAATTGATCGCGCCTTAGCGAGCGTGGAAATAACTGTTGCCATTGCTTATTTCTTGTTCTGTTGCGAGGAGGGGAATTTTTGGCATGATCATTGCGCGGGGAATCTTTTTGAATTTCTTTTGTGAATTTTGAACCAACACCGGTTCTCGACATTTCTTCTTGCAATTAGGATGTTAATTAGGCTAAGAATTTGGGAGCGTCGTAATTTTTGGCTGCAATTGCACAAGGCTCCTTACTTGCGCGCGCATTGTTATGTCTTGTCCTACGGCTCTGCCCCCGTCGCGCCTAAATTGTAATCGCAACTGTAATCTCTCCTTGCTCCTTCTTGGCAAGCGCAGGTGTAACTGTAATCCTCTCCCTTCTGATCTCTTTTTTTTGTGCGAAACTTGGCGTCTCTTTCCCGGCTACCTCATTGGCCCACAGATGCATGACTGGATCGATGCGTGGAGAGCGACTACGTCCCCCATGTCATGGCCCCGTCATGCACCCATAGGCACTCCCTCTTCTTTTCTACCTCTTGCTTCAGCATAATCTGAAAGTATATCGCGCAACTACCGAATGCTATAAAGATGGCAAGTACGACTAATTCGCTCTCTAATTTACACTTGGGAGTTAGCGCGGTCGAGAGTATCGATTAACGAGTGGAGACAGAGCGGTGAGTAGGGAGTTGGGCGATCCGACGATCTGGTGCTGGGTAGGTGGGGTTGACGTGTGGCCGCAAGGGACTATGGCACACAGGCGAACTTGGCTTGCGTACTCGGACTAAGCGGGATGACAACTTCGAGTTGTTGATAGGTGCACGGCGATGAACTGCCCGCATCATGAGAACTGAGAGAGAGAGAGAGAGAGAGAGAGAGAGAGAGAGAGAGAGAGAGAGAGAGAGAGAGAGAGAGAGAGATGTTGAAGTGGGGGTTATCTCTCCGTATCTTCTGTATAATTTTGATCTCTGGTTCTCAACCATCCTTGCTTGCGACACTCTCAAATTTTTTTTTCTTTGGTTGATGTATGAATTATTTTCTCTCCCCCATCTCTTCCTTTTCCTCTACAGAATGTATGACAATTCCAAAATTGATTGATCACTCGAATGACTTGCATGAAGGATTGTCGATCGTAGAGACGAGGGATTATGAGGAATATGGGATGGACGCCCTGCTGATGTATGGAGAGATGCATGTAGTCCCGCCCATTTTTGGTATGCCCATGTTTCTGTATATGCAGTAGTGATCGACGATCCACGCGCGATTGACATCTGATGCTTGAGAATATTATTTACTCTCCTTTTCCTTCTGGCCGTTGAGCAGACATCTGATTTGTTAAGGTGATTCGGATTCAATGGGAACACATATACGAATGATCACCGAAACAGCAGTCATCACATATATGGGTGTCGACATGACCCGTCCCTGACACCACCTCTCCTTGCACAATTAAATGTATGAGTTGAGTCCCTCTTGCCAAATATGGATATCGACGTTTCATTCAGGATCACTGACCGTGCTAATTTGAGGAACCTCGAGTACCAAGAATATTGGGAGAACGAACAACTCTTTTGCCGATCGAACTTAAGGCTCCCGGCCTACCCCTGCCAAACTGAGGGCGATCGACTGTGTGGATGGGACTTTCACAGGGCGGAATTCCCGAATCCCGGATTAACCCGACACCCGCAATTACCATTACTATGTCACACGGAGATTCGTCACCATTGAAACCAACTTCCCTACATTCTATCTCCTTCTCCCCTACCACCATTTAATGGTTGCCCCTTGGGAATAGATAGCCCGCGGCTGGCCTCAAAGGTCGTGCTCTGAGTGCCGACAATGCAACACCTATCGAGCCGTGGGACTTGTACGACGAACCCGCTCCGAAGCTGAGTGTCGAGAGCACAGCCTCCGGCTGAGGCCGTCCACGTCATATTTCGAGATCTGTGAAACCTGCTGACGACAGGTATATGCACAGAGAGACACCCACTACGTTCCCTCCGTGCACCAAGTACGAACCCCCCCCAAGCGACGTGGAAGGCGAAACTAGCTGCTCGTCTCTGAGAGGGGCGAAACCAAAGATCTGGCCCTACACAGAACCACTTGCATTTCTGTCCTTGAAACTTGGCACCAGAGATCTCAGTTCTGAACTGGGACTCCACCCCCCACTTCCCTAAAATCCTTGGCAAACCCCTACTACGCGCTTTCGGGCCTCCCACTGCGAAACAGAAAGTCTCGTTGGGCATGAGGCTGGGTGTACAGAGTTCAGAGTAACTGCACTGTGATCCAGTAGGATTGACAGGATGATGGGCCGGTTTCAGCCCACCTCCCCCACAGGCATACTAAACCTTCCACAATTTGATTGTTTTCATAGATGACAGGGTTCACACTGTACACTACATCACAATCGATAGTTAGTACAGATTACAAGCTTACTAACCTTTCACGAGCTTATTCTTCTCGTACCTGACACGATGCACATCAAACTGTGTAATTGCATTTTAAATGTACTTTACAGGGAAAAAAAAAAAAAAAAAAAAAGAGGTAACGGCATGTTTGCCCCTTTGCCGCGTTTACGGGGGCCGTAGTTGGAAGTCGATATTGTTTCTTTTTTGGGGGGGATAATTTGCGAATTACTCCCCATAAGTTGAGATCTATGCCAAAATGCCTCTGAAAGATGTGCGGGTTTAGCGGAATGCCCTTTTGGGCCGAAACCTTTGGGTTATGCCGCTGTCAGGCGGATGTGCAAATTTGCAATCTGGACCTCGCCGTTTGGGCCTTGACCTTTTACAACCGGGCCTTGGAGAAGTTGGCAAGTATGGTGTATTTTGCAAAGCTGGATGGTACCCGATAAGGATATATCTCAAAGATGGGGGGGTTCCAACTGAGGCTATGGGTGTTTCCTTTTTTTTTATTTCTTTTTTTTTTTTATCCCCAACACAATCCCTCCCAACATCGTATATTAGATATCAATGCAGAGTCAGAAAAAAGCTAGAGCAAATGGGGTCACCAGATTTGTCACAGAGTTTTCGCTATCACCGTTAACCTTCTAGTAGGTTCATGTCAACATAAGTGAAGCTTACCCTACTGGTATAGCTTCTTGTCCGACGCCTGAAACAAATCCTATGCATAATCTGTGACAACGACAGACAACCTTTGCACACATGACGAACGCGAGCAAAATCCCTCCCCACTTCTAATTACAGAAACTAGCATAAATAAAATGACATTGTTTCTCTATATTACATTCAACAGACAAAGGGGCTCGTTAGACACTCCTTACAGCGTCCTCGGGGCCGAAGAAAATTTCCTTTGGAGTTTGGAAGGAAAATCCTTCCGTCGTTCCACCTATCCTCAGGGCGGCCTCCCGAGGACGATTCCCTTTTGCCCCCCGTGGCCCGCTTTATAACATTATATTCGGCCGCGTGTAGGTTGTGAATTTGAGGATGGCGGTGGCGACGGGGGATAAAAAAATAATAAATGAGAAAGGACCTCCCGGTTCAAAATTCAAATTTTGAATTTTGCGGCGAACGTGACGACGGCGGCGCGTGGCAGTTGGCGTGGCTTCTGGCGGGCGGTGGAAACGGGCATTCCAGCGGCGTAGCGGCGTTCTGGCGCCGTCTTTTGCCATGCTACATTTTGATTTTGTCACCGCACAAAGGACGATCGCCATCTCCTCCTCCTGCCGACGGTCGTGTATCGTAAGTGAAAGACTGGCTGCTGATGTCCTTCACGACTCCGTGGTGAGGTTGACGTCGTCGTCACAAATTAGTATTCCATTTTTAGTGCGGCTGTTGATCCGGCCTTGCGAGGACGAGTGGTGATGGAGTTCGGCGGAGATGACGACCGTGCGAAGTTGACGACTGTCGAGAAGACGACCGTTGTGGCGGCCATGATGACTGTGCTCTTTCATTGTCAGCAGGAGAGGTCGTTGGGCAGATTGAGAGCGAAGATCCGCGCGCGGAGGAGGAGGACGGCTCAGGTCACCAATGTCGATGGGCTGGATGCAACGGCCATTAGCTCTGTTGTACTCCAGGTTTGCTACGCCATGGGTTGCGGCGTGCTTCCACTCGCGACGCCGAGATGGTGGATGAAGAGGAGGACGGGCGGGGCGTGGGAGGATCTCAAGCAATGCGACAACGCGACGGAGTACTTCCGGGAGAAGCTGCGTATGTCGCCGCGTGTCTTCCGGGAGATCGCTGAAGCTTTGTCGCCTCATCTGCAGAGGTGTGTGACGTTCTACAGGGAGCCGCTGCAGCCTGATCATATCGTCGCTTATGTGTTATACAGGTGGGCATCGGGGGAGACGTACGAAAGCAACACATGTAACTTCAAGATAGGGAGGGTTTTTGGGCCGGTGGCGGTACGGGATGTGACGGCGGCGCTGTTAGTGGTGTATCGAGAGAAGAATCCATGGTCGATCGGGGTGGGGGTGTGGAAGTTGGTCATCCTACGAGCATTCGTCGGCAAAGGATTCCCGAATTACCATGGATGCATCGACGGTACTCACGTCTACGTCGACAAGCTGGCAAACGCCCCCAGCGAGGACTACTACGATCGTAAACGGCGTTTCTCGGTTGTCGCGCAAGTAGTCGTTGATCTCAACCTTCGTCTGCTGGACGTTCACATGGGCTACCCGGGAAGCTGCCACGACGTCTGGATCATCCAACTTTCAAGTCTGTGGGCGCGTGCAGAGTCTGGCAGTCTTTTTTCAGGGCTGCCAGTGATGCTCCTCTTCCAAGTGCAGACGGACGGGTACTTGGTGGGCGACAATGGCTATCCTCCGTCAGAATGGATGGTTGTACCCTATGGAGGAATTGGTCAGCACCCTGTCGAGGAGCGGTTCGACAACAAACAGAAGGTGGCGAGGGGGGCTGTAGAAAGTGTTTTCGGAAGGCCAAAGGGGATGTGGCGGCTGTTCCTGCGGACGCACAAGACAAACATGGATACCTTGCCGCAGCAGTTTGTAGTTGTTTGTATCCTCCACAACATCCTCATCGATGCAGGCATTCCATTCAACGAGAATCTGTTGTGGGAGATGGACGCCAACGGAGTACGGCGCCGCGTGAACCTCGGGATTCAACGCCCCCTGCGGCCAATGTGCATGGAGAGTTCGACAGGTGATGCGCTTATTCTGAGGGACGCGTTGGCGAAGCGGATGAAGGTCGATTAGCGACGTCCTTCCCTCGGAGAATGGCCATCTTCAGCGTCTTCGTCGCGGGGGGGAGGGGGGGGGGAGGCTGAAGGGGATGGCATCGATCCACGCATGCCTGGATAGACCAGACGGCGGGGTCTTGTGTTGTCGTCTGCATGTTTTAATGTGACATCCACGGAGGTAATAGTAGCGTTGATGCGTACCCACGAAGGTCATGCTTCTCCCAACCAGGGTGTGTTTGAATTGAGGACGCTGTTTTTTTTAGTTCCTCCTTTTTTTGTGGAACGTAGATGTTTCCTTACACGTGTCAACATGATGACATCCACACTCTTATTCTACGGTAATGACATATGTGAGTCCCACAAGTGACGACGACTTCTTCTTCCTCCCCTCCTCCGTTTTCTCTCTCCCTCTGAAGATGTGTGGAAGCAGGACCATGCACAAGATTGAAACTCTGTGTTCGAAGACCTGCATCCACCACAACGGATGTTTTTTTTTTTTTTTTATGTCGTGTTGATTTAAGCTACCAGCTTGTGCTTCTTTAGGACCGTCGTCGTGCACATAACTTGTGTTGAGAGTCACGTAGAATCTGTTATCTTTCGTGTTGGAACTACGCAACATTTCAGAAATATTTCGGCGTTGTCTTTTGCGGCCTCTACAGTGGTGCGTGTGTGTGTGTGTGTGTGTGTGTGTGTGTGTGT